TATTATTATTATTATTATTATTATTTATTTTATTATTATTATTATTATTATTTTATTATTATTATTATTATTATATTCAATGCCATTTATCTTGTTAAATAAAAAAAGGCTGAAATATCTTTACACAAACTAAGTATTAAAAAATTCTTCACAGATGTTTTTTTTTCCAGCAAAACACTTAATGTCATCAGTTTTTATGTTTTCAAATAATTGGTTTCTTGATCAGAGGGCCAGAGTAAAAACACAAGTTATTACATCATTTAAAAGTGGTCATCAACCTAAAACATGACGACCACTGCAGTGCTTTTGTGGATTCGTCCTTTAGTCAAATATAGCCACATATTTTCCACTAGCGACATAAAACATGTTGACGAATCGAAGGTAAAAGGAATCCAGGAAACTGGAAATTCAGTCCTGTGCAGCATACAAGATTGTTAATGGTATGTTTACAGTGTATTGTAGTTAGTATTACCTGGCATTAGATGACAAATGGCAAGGGGGGGGGTTGAGTAGAAATCCTTGTGTGAAGACCAGTCATGCCGCAAGAGTAACAGGCCTGTGACCTATTTTCATTCAGGAAACATAGTTTTTAAGAGACTGTCTTGTAGGTAAGATCAGACAAAATCATATATAATCTAAATTTGTTCCAGTGAATCTGTTTTCTTTATTTGGCCCCAGCTCTGCGCCGAAGCCATAACTCAACATTAGCACCGTCCCCTCCGCACTCATTCAAGCAGCAGTCTGAGGATTAAGCTATGCTTTGCAATAAGGCATTTCCCCTATTATATTAATGCATGAACTGATTAGATGTTTTTGTCTTTTAATATTGTTCTGATTTCCATATTTGAATGCACGAACGCTGCCATATCCTTAAATCCCCCCAAAAAAGGCCTCTCCATGTGCGTATCTCTGATTCCCTCCCCTCTCTCTTTAGACGTTCGAAGAAGATTAGCGTAATTCTTTTAGGAAGTTCCTCTTCCCACAGTCGAGCCTCTGCCTAATTGGCCTCTCTGAGGGATGATCACTTAGTGCGGATTTAACATCAGAGAGCAGCGAAGAAGTAGCAGCTCGACAACACATACACACACGCAGGGCATCAAAGTGTGGCATCATGAGGCGTAGTTTTTTCCATAGGATTAAACTGGATGTGGTCCAGTAGTTTCATGTGGGTTAGGGTAAAACTCACTGAGACACAGCAGCAGGGAAATGCAGCGTGGAAGAGCTGGTGATTTTGGCTTTTGTACTAAGAAAAGGGGTTGTTAACACATTAACCTGTAAGCATTTCCTATGTTATAAAAGGCCAGATTTCCAAGTGTGTGTATAATGTACTGTATGTGTTTGTCTGTGTCACTGTGTTGGGCTGACTTCAATGTTGCAACCACAGCTTTACAGGCAGCCCTGCAGTTAGCAGAGCAGATCAGCTCCTTCCCTCAGCAGTGTCTGCGGGCCGACCGCTCCTCAGCCATGTACAGCTGCTACGACGCTCCGTCCTTCACACAGGTATGACTGATGTAGGAATGTTACACTGTCGTACCTTATCCATGATGCCAACATGTCAACTTCCTATGACACAGTACAGAATATAGTATAGAATAGCAAAATATGAATCAATAATTTCTTGTAATTTTCTTCTTTTTTGTTAAAGGTAACAATTATGACCAGAAAGTCTTAAAGACAACGTACTGTGAAAAAACCAAATTGTGCTCAATGTTACTTACTACTTACTACTTACTAAAATGGGATTTTCAGGTTCTTTCATGGCTCAAGTTAATATTTCTTGCTTTCTGTCATATTTCAAATTGTGACCCTCAAACAATTTGCCCTCTTAAATTTATATTTGATCTAATCTTTTCCTCTGTCCAGGCCATGCAGTATGAGATCGACCACGGAGTTCCTGTCATCCAATCAGAAGCTGTCGCTGGGGCAACCAGGTTCACTACTGGAGCTGGAAGAGGAGGAAAATTCTCCTAGGATTTAGTTTGCAGAGGCCTTGTGAAATTGTGATTTTCAGGTGACCTAACACATCTTGCTGCATCCATGTTGGAAGTGAATGGTTACGTTTTCAAACCTACAGTAAAACTTTGACAATACTGAACAGAACTAGTCAATTTTGTATTCTGATAATTCCAGTCCACCACTCAGCCAATCATAATATATAATAATGACAAGTAGTTGGTTCAGATATGAACTAAAGAACTAAGTTGACTTTTTTTTTTTTTAAGTCATGCAACTGCACTGCAAAGGGTATTTGAAAATTTAAATTTATTTTATTTAAAACATATTCACTTTATTCACCTTGTTTGGTCTGGGTTGCAGTTGTGAACAACAAGCATAGTTTTTTGAGAAATAACATCCAAAATACCAAAAAGATGAGACACAGAAGTAAAGTTACTCTAAAGCCACAATTTGCAATTTTTGAACAGCCCAACTGTCAGTCCCCAAGCTCCACACTGCAGCAGCGTGTACACAGCTGTTTTTAAATGAAGGCCGTTTGGACTCTGATGGATGGGAGGGAATGTAGCTCCACATCAAGTATAGACTGAGGCTTTAACTTTCATTTTCTTGGTGCAAATCACACACACACACACACA